TAATGATATTGAAGGTGATAATAGCAATAATACAATTTAATAAATTAAAGATAATGTTTATTTTTATAATAATAGTAATACAAATTAGTAATAATAATAATGATGATACTTAATACTAGGCCTACTTAGTAATAATAGGGTAATAATATCGATAATAAAGGTGACAACAACAACAATAATATTAATAATAATAATAATAATAATATGAGAAAAATACTAATAAAACGCCAATAACAACAACTTTTTAAATTACTATTATTAAAATTATAATTAATAATAATAATATGAATAATAATAATAAAAAAATTGAAAATTATTTATTATTTATATGGTACTATAAATATATGTACTATATATATATATATAATATAATAATAATATCAGCAAAAATTTGAACAATATAATGTTAATGCTAAGACTAATAATTAATATTAAAACTAACGGTAATAAAAACAACAATAATAATAACAACAATGACAACAATAATAACAGCAATAATAATAACAATTAGTACAATGTTGTACCAGTAAATGACTTGTGGCCGAGTTGACTTGTGGCCGAGTTGATTTGTGGCCGAGATGACTTGTGGCTGAGTTGACTTGTGGCCGAGTTGACTGTAGCCAAACTTTTTGTGGCCGAGTTGACTTGTGGCAGAGTTAACTTGTGGCCGAGTTGACTTGTGGCCGAGTTGGATCGAATTCAACTAGGCCCTAAATAAGGCTTAAAGATTAATTATTATAGCCTAGCCTAGGCTTCGCACCCCGGGCCCAGCCTCCAGATAGTAGTAGTAGTAGCCTACTCATCCTCCTAAGCCTACTAACTAAAGCTAGGCCTAGTTATTATATCAGTAATAGTATAATACTGTATCAAGTACCTCTTCATGTGCATAGGCCTAGGCTTATTCTTTGTTACCAGACTACAGGACCGTAAATACTCGAATAAGCTTCGGCGGTACGTGTTTACATTTGGCACAGAACTTGGCTATGCTCTGATGATTGCACAGTAAAACTCTAGCGGGCGCACTCCATCTTAAAGCAAAAGCAAAAAAAGATACGGCTACATGGGATGACATATTTACATAAATGTAAAAAAAATATTTTTCAATTTTTAACATATTATTGGAATCATTTTTTTCATCCCAAAAAAGTTAATGCAAAATATCGCAATAACTGATAAACGTTCTAATATGCTTGTTTGGTGGGAATTTGATAGGCCAATCTATTTCAAATACTGTAGAGTACGTATGACTAACCCTTAGCGGGGATGTGTCCGCGAAAAATAATTAGGGGTCCGCCAAGTCAAAGGGGTTCCACAGGGGTCCACGAAAAATGTAAGGGTCCGCTAGATTTGTAAACCAATTTTTCATTATTCCATTCTTGTCTTACAACATTGTGATATTAAACATCTTAATGCTAATTATCAGGTGCCTTTATAACTAAATACCTTTGACAAGGCATACACTTTGTTCACAACAGTAAATTGCTTTAACTGGCATTATATTTTAAATCCAATATTTTATTGGTGATCTCTTAGAATCTCTTATATTTAATGTATGTTTTATGTAAAGGTGTTTCGTATAGGAGAGCCACTTTGTATTGGCAATCAGGTAATTAATCTCAATTGTTTGTATGTTTTGTCTTGTACCGGTATTGCTTTTACCTGGATGAAAAAAGAAAATAGGAGGTAGCCTTAAATTTTACAAAATTTAAAATAGGCCTAGATGGGGGATAAAAGAAAATTAAGTTACAATTAGAGGTCTGACAGTGCAATTTCTGGCCATCTCGAAGTCCCATAGACATAAAAAGAAAAAATAAATAAATAAAAAAATAAATCCGCCTCAGCCCCAACCGTGATGTGTCATCGATCAACTATCTGTAAAATTGTCTTTATCTGACCCGGCCACTTTATTTAGAATTCTAAGGATCCGCCACTGTTTCAAATTGTACTCTTGTGGAGAATCATCTTTCTTACCTATCATATTATAGGTGGAATATCAACCACGAGTCCCTCTAAATTCTACAAAATTTTAATTAAAAAAAGGATTTAAAAAAAATTACACTAAAATTTTGAGTCTGATAATGCCATTTCCGGCAATCTAGAAGTGCCATACAGACATAGAAATGTCAAGCATAGTGGGGCTGAAGTGGTTTGATTGGTTTATATATTATATTTAGGCCTACTTTGACATGGGGGTCCGTGAAAACTTTTGACATGTCCCGAGGTGTCCGCGAATGAAAAAAGGTCGGGAACCACGTAGCCTATCAAGTTATAGACTGGTGAAAATATACAAAAAAGATGAAATGTCTAATAGATGACTATAATCAATTAAATACAGATAATTCAAGGCTAGGTACGGTACGCAGAATGAAATACAATGGAAACGATGTGTTTACAAACTAGTCCGTATAGGAAGTCTCAGTTAAAATTAAAATCTTATAAGACGTGTAAAATTAATGTAATCAAACTCGATTTAGTATATATTGTGATGTAGAGTGGCTTTCTGTCTCTGTTAGTCTTTAATTTTGCTTTTATTTAATTATTGGTTTTTGGTTTCGGTCTTCTTGTTAGACTAGGTCAGTTGTGTGTGACTTGAAGTCCTAATAATACCACACTAGGAATGTTATTCACTGGTAGCCAAATATTCTAGCAAAGTATGGCTAAATGATAATAATATTATTATTAATGATAATAATAATATTAATAATAATAAGAAGAATTATATAAATGTATTCATATATTAATAGCATTACTGCAAGACGGTTTAGAATTTTTCTCTATTATAAAGATTT